TAGTTGCACCTTGTTTTGTTGATTATCTTTTGTTTTTCATTTCTTGAAATTGAAAGTTGGTTAATGAGGGTTCCAGCTTATTGAATAAACTGCAATAGTTTCAGACTGCTCAAATAGCCTTGCGGCTATTCGGGAGCAAAAGTCTTTCTTATTTCCAGGATTCTTCAAATGGGGCAGCCTTTATTTTATTTTCGTTCTATTCTAGGTTGATTGACATAATCAATGGACTTAAGAAAGGATACGTTATCTGGCAAGAAGTTATCGATAACGGCGTTAAGGTAATTAGTATTTCGTAGAACATCAAATTGTGAGATATTTCTCAGATGCTGTCCTATGAGGATCAGTTGGAGTGTGTACTTTTGTGTTCACTGGGCCTTTCTAGACAAGGCCTTCACTATTTTGAAAATGCAGAAAGATTGCAAGTGTATACCTTTGTATTCATTGCGCATACAAGGGCATAACGTTTAGAAATTTTATGCAAATTCTTCAAATAATGCCCGATGTGCCCCCTTTTCTTGCAATACATTTCAATTATAAACGCTCGGTTGGCCCCCCCCGCCCCTTTCCATTTTTTTGTAACCGTTTAATCCTTAGATTGTCATAATACTGCCATTGTCAAAGGCCATTTCGTTTTAGAGACGTTGTTTCTGCATAGATATGTTTAATTAACTGAAGCCTAATTTTTTTACTTGAATTTTGTTTGTTTAGTCAGCGTCAAAGTTTGTTTAGTTTAGGCTAGACTAGATAGTGATGGTGTTCTGTTGCCATAGTGAGAAATGGAATAGCGTAAGTCATTTTTATCAACTGTATCTTTGCATCTAGGTAAAGCAAGACACCATAGTAAATGTATGGAAAGGAGGCTGGCAAAACGAGATGGCCAAAGTTACAGCACAGGGTTACAGAGCGATCTTGTCGTCCTGCTGGTATCTGAACTATATTTCATACGGTCCTGACTGGCCAAATGTAAGTTAATTTTTCTATTTAGAGTTTATTTCGTAAATGTAAGTTTATTTTTCCTAAAATGGGATATTTTCGCACCCTTTTTTAGAAACTATGACAGTATCAGAAAGCCAAGCTTCTGGCTTTGTACGACAACAGTGGATACATGAAGTTGTTTTTCTACTGCTATTGAAAAATATCTTGCCTGTTATGTCATATATGCACAGCTTTGTTTACTCAATAGCCTCTGGCTAGCAATCTCGCAATATCAAATTACAATTGAATGAACTGGAATTTTTTAGACTGTATATAATAAGGGTGGTTATGGTGTTGTGAAAGTTTGTGTGGCGAAGGGCCCGTTAAGATTTAATTTTCACCCTACCTGATACTTTTTGCAAGATTACTAATTTACCAGCTTGGACATCTCAAAAATGTTTTTAATCTCAAAAATAGCTGCCCAGCTGTTATTTGTGTAGTGTTTTGTAAAGCTTTTCAATGTTACTTTTTCTTTCAGTATTATAAATGTGACCCTCAAGATTTCACTGGTACAAAGGAGCAGAAGGATCTTGTCATTGGTGGAACCGGTTGTATGTGGGGTGAATGGGTGGATGGAACAAACTTGCTGTCAAGAACATGGTCAGCTTATGACATGCTTTTTACTCTCCAATTTTTGTTGACCTTCTTAATGGAATTTTAGTTAGTACAAAAGCCTTTGAGTACGATAGAAAGGTGCGGGGAGGAAATTCATTTTTGCTTTAAATGACATTCCTCACAGCCGCCACCCCTAGAATGGCACAACTTTTGGCACAACTTACTCAAGTAAAACCGGTTGTCTGAACACAATTTTGTATGAAAACCGTTTTACCAGAAAATCCCGGTCAACTCAGGAGGTTATAAACTTTCATATAGCCGTGATCTCGGTCATTTCTTTTGTAGAACCAAGACTCCTCAGGTTGATCTGCCATCTTTTAGTAACCATATTTGTTTTCTAGTAATTTTATATGTTTTCTAAACATGTAATATATATCTATTTTATATTTTGTATCGAATGCGGCCTAGCCCAAAGAATAGGTTTCAAATTTTGATTTATCGTAAAATGTATTTCAAGACAGTATCAAGATCAGTTCTCAGTATGTAATGGTTACACTTATTTCTCTTTCAGTTAAATATATCTTGCTCAGTTTTGTCATCGTAAAGTTTTTCACTACCAAAACCCAGACACGAACGTTCTGAAGATTTCTGTTCGTTATTTTGGTAGTTCCACGATCATCTTGGCTTTGTGTAAAAAGGAAATATCATTTGCTGGTATTTCTAGCAAGAGTTGTGATTCTAACTATCGATGAAAACTCTACCTACACAGAACTTTGATAAAATCAAAATTTTCGTTCAGTTTCATTGGATTTGCATGTTTTTATTTAGGGGCAGAGCTCTAGCAGTGGGTGAAAGATTGTGGAGTAGCAAAGAGACAAATGATGCCAAAGAGGCAGAAGGCAGAATTTGGGAGCATCGATGCAGATACCTCAGGTATGACAACCTTAGTCTTTCTTTATTGGTATGAATACGTCAGGTTATCAGCCAGGAAGTCATGATGAAACACGTTTATTAAGCGACTGTGGAACTGCCGCGATCATTTTGACAAAGGACTTAAGTAGCTTATTTGACAGAACGACGAGACTCTATGCAACCTTTCCCGCATCGGCACAACTCGCATAAGGATAGGTGTCTGAATGTCGAGAGCAGAGGTGGAAAAATTTTTTTTCTTTCTGGGAACCTAAGAATCTGGCTCAAAACTTTCTGCAAGATTTAGGGGGTAGACAAATAAACTTTCTGTTTGTGCCTTTTTACTCTATACTTAGTTGATGTATAAAAGAGGGCAAACTTAATTCTAAGAAGTATGATACTTCTCATTTGAATGTTCAATTTGTTTTTATTTTAATGCTTAATTTGTTTTTTTTTTCTCGAAGTATTTCTATAGAACGTTAAATCAAATGCAAAAAATTGTCAGGCAATCAACTTCTTAACATAATCAGTGTCATTTAACATCAGAGATCTTGACTATTGTTCCAAAACAGTCATTCTCAACATATTAGATATGCCTTTACTTAATGCATAAATGAACATAAGAAAGAAATCAACTTTAGCTAGAAATTGATTCATTCAATCAATCATGATGGAAAACCAAAATCAAAAGGAAAATCCATGCAATAATCTCCAAACATAGTTTCAGAAGAGTCAGGGGCAAAATCATTTGAATTGTATGGTGCATTTTATGACTTAGCCTAATCTTTTGACAAGTGAAAAGCAATATGTGGTTAAAATGGAGTCCTAGCATGCAACAGATTAATGTAACCAAGCATATTAACTTATGATCAATGCTGCGCACACCATAGTGCCAGAAATATTTTCTGTGAAAGTAGATTCCAGTCCCTATATTAATCTGAGTCTTAGTCATGGTTTGTCTTAAAAGCTCAGCTGCTAAAACAATTCTGATTGTGAGTGGTTGAGATTTCTGTGAGATGGTGAATGAAAAAAATGTGCACAAAGAATTTCTTTCCAATGGAAAGAGACTAATTCCCACATTCCTTTGGCAGCTCAAATTTAGCTGCTCACAGGCGAACTGAAATAATATTTTCTGCTAATTTGACTAAACCTATATCACCAGATTTTTATACTTACTTTAACACTTCAAAAATTTTCTGTGAAACTTTCTGCTAACATTTTCATCTCGAAAAATTTCTGGGAACTACGTTCCCAGGTTCCGATACTTTTTCCACCTCTGGTCGAGAGTTGACTAACTAATGTAATGGTAGGTATTTGGAAGTAATGGGAAGTAATTTGAAGTAATAGGAAGTTTTCGGGGGTTTTGGATTAATGTTGTATGATGGTAATAGATTTATCGAAAGAGAAATCATTTGCAAGCGTCCCATACCCGGGGCGGCTTTACTTTTCCGTATTATCCTGAGGTTCTACGTAGTTTATTGGAACAATTATTTGTATGCTAGTCTGCGTTGTTTCTGTTTGTGCTTTGACTCGATTGATCGAAATTTCTCTCCTTCGGAAATTGGCATTTTAGAGCTGTTGGATTATTTGAATGCTCGAGGCGCACCTCGACTTTTGCCTGTCTGGGAATCACACCTGCTGTGAACGACATTTATTACACCTTTGTGCAAATAATCGTATTTTTGGTTTGCCGATCAGTAGCTGCTATCTGTTAGATTCAATTTATTTTTTGCTGCTCCTCGCAATTACTTGTTTCCAAATATAAAATGCTTTCAACTTCCTATTCTTATAGATGTTTGAATAGATAAAGCAATCTTGCTGATAAAAATTTAGAATAAGACATGTTGACAATGAGTACCAAGACATTATCCTCAAAAGTACTTGAACCGTTTAATTGCAAAGTTTTTTGATGAAATGTTCGGATCATCGAGAAACACAAAGATTGTAATGGATCATAATTTGCGTTTTTAACAGTAATATTTAGACAGGCTCCTCCTTCATTAATCATGTATGAACAGATTGTCTGAAGGTATATAGATATATATAGTGTCGTTGGTTATCGTTTGCTGTTTATTTTTAAAAGTAGTGCTGGCCACATCGTTGCATGAACTAAGGTATCGAACATGAAAATTGTTAATACAACAACCCCGATGAACAGTACGTTGAAAGGTAATATCCGTGGTGGTGACGAGAGATACCAATGGAACCCGTCTATTATCGTCTGGCTTTGTTTTGGCATAATTGGACTATTGCTAAACGCAGTTGAATTTGTATCCATAACTTGCAATCGAAGGAAAAGGACTGCTTTTTACCTAACTCTTGTTTCCCTTGGCTTCGCGGATTTGCTTGCTTGTGCATCGTACGTGTTCTACGCTGGGACTTTCTTGGCTACATACTCAAGTTCAGCGACAATTCACCCTGTATTCAATACTGTCCGAGTTGTCTCTCAGAAATTGATTTTTGGTTTTTTAGCAATATCGTGTATCCATATCGTTTTTATTGCTGTTCAAAGATTATGTGCAGTCAGATTTCCATTGTCCTTCAGTCGTGTGTTCTCCACAGTGAAATGCCACGTTTGCATTGCTATTGCTTGGTGTGTTGGCCTAACTTATGCTGTTCTCAATGTATACAACGCAAGAGTCGGAATCGTATCATGTTATCAATTGCTCGTCTTCGGCGTTATGCTTATTGTAATGTACTGTGTTATAATTTGTCAAGCAACATTTAGGTCTCCGGTTTTGAGAACCAACAGTACAGCGAGCATGAAGCAAAGCAAGCGAGTTCTTATTCATTCCATATGTGTCACCATCATTTTCATTGCCTGCAACTTTCCTTATGCGATCAACTTTCTGTTCTTCGCTAGCAATCGAAGTGCTTTGCGATATTTTTATGGCCTTCTCGCACTCAGGCCTATTTTAGACCCTGTGCTTTACTTCTTCTTTCATCGATGTAAAAGCGTTTCAGTGACTGTCACCAGCCAATGACGTCACTGATTATATTTCTCAAATTTTCTTCAACTGAGTGGCTCAATCTTATTTTTTCCATTTGAAGGAATATAAAATGATTTACGGCATTGCTTTTGTTTTCTCTTCATACGTTTGATGCATCGGGTATTTCCAGCGATGCGAGCGAACGCTACCTCCAAACATTTTGTGATACACTCGCTATTTTCCTCGTGGGATTTGTGGGTGCTTTGTCAGATAGCCAGCTTGAATTCAATCTGAAGTCTTCGATATGAATTTGTAAGATTTAGCGAGAAAAAGAGATGCTGCCTTTGATCAGAAAATTGACCGAGTACAAACGTACAACGCAAGAATCGTGTATCATCTTCGATAGAACTTTACTTGTGTTTACTCCATGCATTTGCATCGAAGTCATTGTTATCGATAATAACATGGTTCTAGAATGCAAAAAGGTGTGTATATGAAATATTGTTGCCTCACGTGCCCCAGAAGATAGTAAAATGATTGCTTAGCTAGATAGCTCCTTTTCCTTGCTCACAGGCAAGAATTTACAAAAGCATGCTTGTTCATTTTCCTTGCTTGTTCCACTGTCAGCCTTGTTTCATTTGATGCCCTCAGTATATTGGGGTTAACGTGGCTCACCTTTCGAGGGTCGTGGAGTCTCTAGAACACGAAAAGATATCATAACTCGGCATTTTGATAGAAGGGAATGTAATGTAATAGTAAGCACAGTAACATTTTAGTGGTAGCAGAGCTTCAAGCACAATACAAAAGCTTGGTATAATATAAAGCTTGGTAAAATTTCTGCTTAATTTCGGTCATTATCCAACGTTTATTCTGTTGAGGGTTGTCGAACGATATTTTGAGGAATGTTTCCGATATTTTGTGCCATCTACAATTTTGACTTGTAGACTTAGATTAGATTTAAAGCTTTTTTGACTTGCAGACTGTTTCGACACTTTCTTCAAAGATTTTTTTAGAGATTGCATTAACACTATCATTCAGATAATTGTTGCTATTTATGTCATTTTTGTCACACTTCTATCCACAAAGGCCCAATCAGGTATCTTTCTTCGTAAGGCCTTGCGTATTTCTCTTTTTCCACATGGTGAAGGTACTTCACGATTGATCTTTTAGTTTCTCAATTCCGAGGAAAGTTTGCTTTATTTTCAGGGATTTTTTTGTCGAGAAGTAAGCTTGAAATTGTTTGAAACTGCGTTCAATGAGTTTAGAAAATTCGGTTGGCTACTATTTTTAATGATTTTCCCACCTTTCATCCCCAGGAGAGGAATCCAAGCCGAAAACGTGGTGCAGAGTCAATACTGCCTTCATGAATGGAGAAACCCACGTGGGTGAAACAACCCTGGTTCTGGCGTCGATATCTGGCAATTTATGATCCTGTACTGAATACTTAATGATGTCTTCTGTTCTATTCCAGTCTATAAACTGATATTGCCTTTATGCTAACCAAAATATTTAACGTTGTGCAATTGATTGGCTTTGAAAAGATGTATGTTGCGAGGGATGGACTTGACAACGTCCCCAGTATCCCTTAGTAGCAAATATGAAATGGTGTAATTTTTAATTTAATTTTTGATACTCGTTGCTTTACGGCATCTTGATGTAAATTTTTATCTCCTATAACTAAAAGCGTGTTGAACTCTTTACTTTTTGTATTCTAGTTGCCTCTTCTTAAAGACGGCAACTCTACTTTTCATTTCCTTGTGAGTATTGCTTGCAAAACACTGTTGTTTTTTATCGAATTGTCTACAAACCATGGCTCATTCCTGTTACCAAAGCCACAAACTCACCATGGCTAATTCCTGTAAGATGATCATACTGCTTCGTGCTATGGAACATTATAACGATTTTTCATGTCTCTTCTTAAAGCGAATTTAATCTGTTTAATGATGGCATCATTGACTTTTTCTCCTTCTAAACCATTTTTCCTCAAGCATCTCTATAAGCTATTTTCCCTTGATAAACTATCTCATAATTCTTGCTTTAGGAGCTGTGTGAATTAAATGAGCAAACAAGGCCTTACAATGTGGCTCTGTACTTTAAATTTCTCTGCAAGTTTATTCCATACACAGGAATACAGCAACAGTATGACCAATACAGCCATCCAGCCCACGTGGCATGGTTAAGCGCTAGCTAAGCAAGAGACGTATATTTGCAACAATGCCTAAAATGTTCTCGCGTTATATTTGAGTCACTTTTGTGATAACTCGACCACTTTCTTAGAGCCCAGTTGATCCTGTCACCGAAACCGTGTCCAATTGATCCTATTACCTAAAGTCATGTTTGTCCTGTCATCCAACCAAAGTCCTGTTTATCCTGTCCCCCAACCAAAGTCCTTTTTATCCTGTCACCCAACCAAAGTCCTATTTATCCTTTCACCCAACCAAAATCCTTTTTATCCTGTCACCCAACCAAAGTCCTGTTTATCCTTTCACCCAACCAAAGTCCTTTTCATTCTGTCACCCAACCAAAGTCCTGTTTATCCTTTCACCCAACCAAAGTCCTTTTTATCCTGTCACCCAACCAAAGTCCTGTTTATCCTTTCACCCAACCAAAGTCCTTTTTATCCTGTCACCCAACCAAAGTCCTGTTTATCCTTTCACCCAACCAAAGTCCTTTTTATCCTGTCACCCAACCAAAGTCCTGTTTATCCTTTCACCCAACCAAAGTCCTTTTTATCCTGTCACCCAACCAAAGTCCTGTTTATCCTTTTACCCAACCAAAGTCCTTTTTATCCTGTCACCCAACCAAAGTCCTTTTTTTCCTGTCACCCGACTGGTGTCCAGTTGATTCTGTCACTCGACCAGAGAGTCTGGTTTATCCTGAAGGTTTTGAAAGACTTGGAAGAAAGAAAAATCAACACCTTCCTACACTTGGTTTCGACGCTGCTGCTTGGCTGTGTCGTGAATATTTTAACGGATTAACGATAATGTATCTTGTGTAGAGAAAATTGTCTTTTATTATAAATAAACCGTTGTGTCCCACTGACCCATTTTGTCCCATGATACCCTGTCAAAGTTTTGAAATGTTTTAGGATTTGTTATTTATTCGATAGTGCTTGAGTTCAAATATATGCGAAAGCTTCTGGTCCCGTTTTTTAGACGATATTAAAACTTTCCTTGGTGGGTTTCAAATGTCTGCTTAGGGCATTTTAAGTCTCCCATTGAAGAATTATAAACCATACAACGGAGACTTTTTGGGATTCAAAGTTAAAACTAAAAATGTGCTACCCAAGAAGCAGCGAGAAATGTAATTACAGATAATTAATTGCATTGAGTTCTTCATTGAAATTAATAAAGCTGGTTGAAAATAAACAGTAAAGCAACAAGAATTGCGTCCTGTGGTGTTGCAAGAGATTTCCTCAATTTCTATGCGTGTTCTATTTAGGCAAACAATTTGGTTAACATCTCTTCTTCCAAAATCTCTCAAATTTGATCGTTTTCAGCATTTACACAATTATATCCTGTTTATAATAAGATTAATAAGAATTATTTTGTTTGCCAAGAAGCAGGTACACTCGAATTGTTGAATACTGTCAAAATTCAGCTTGCGGGTCTCCTCACAATGATGGGTTTGTTCACTGGTTGCTCATTTGGTGGTCATGCCTTCATGATTCGAAACAAATACATCCGTATTATATTGTCACTTAGGCCGGCAAACAGATTCTTTTTGACTAACAGTCTTCTGTTACGAAAAGTGGTATTTTGTATTATAACTAGGGAAGCAATAGAAAGAGGATGAGTGGAATTTGTTCTTTTTAAAGTCAACTGCTTTTTATTGATAGTTTATAACAATCTTTGTTTATCATTAACAAGACAGCAAGATTGCTTGAACCACTTGCCGAGGGAGCTATTTATGCAAAGGACGACACCTTATTGCTAATATTAGCCTTATCATTATGTTATCTTGCAAAGTTTTTCTTTGTTTGTTGTTCCTGTGCTGCTACTGGGCTGGAGATCTGGTTCAGTGTTTATCATATACAAAGTTAGAGGAGTTAAGTCTCTCGGAACCTTTTGAAAGGGAAGTCGATGAATTTGATCAACAAAAACGGACAACGAAACTCAAATATGGCAAACTTGAGCATACGCCTTTAGATGATAATTACGTAAAGGGTTCAATTTGGCCAAAGCCCCAGGAGGAGCATCGCGAAGATGATTATTTCTTTGTAGACCACGTGAATTTCAAATTTTCAGCAAATGGAGCTGGAAAAGACTCAGAAATCCTTAAGTCAGCTTTGAAGCGATACAAGGGGCTGCTTTTTCCAAAGAAAGAAGGAGAACAAGCAAGCGGTAAAGTTATCCGGGAGTTAGTTGTCAATGTGAAAACAAAACAAGAAAACCTTGATATTAACATGGATGAGTCTTGTGAGTGCAATCTTTCCTTTGGTTTTTTAATTTTTACATTACTTGTGAATATTGTTTTGGGGGTTAGCCACCGTGACTCTTGATTGCCTGATCCCCCTCTCCTCCTCTCCACTCCTTACCTTTTGTGGCTGACTACCCCCTCCTTATTACCTCTTGTTAAAGAGTGGGAAAAGGGGAAATACCATTTTGACACAAAGGTCATGATCGAATAAAGATGCAAAGATATTTTGCTCAAGTACTTGTAAACTAAGCCTATTCAGATAAGTTACACCTTATCTTTCCCAGTGCCTCAGCTAAAACAAATCTTGATTTATAGATACCGTCTGATAGAATTAAGCTCGCTGATTTATGGCAGCCAAAATATTGTGATTTTTGAATTTCATTATAAGATTCTCTACCTATGATTAAGTGATCATAACAACGATAAACTAGCAATGATATCGGAGAAAGAAGCCCATTTGCATTTGCATCTAAACTTTCACCTTTGATTCTACCGTGAGAACCAAGTGATTGATTAGTATCCTTTTTTCTATAGATGAACTCTCTGTTGAAGCTCCGGCTTCTCATTTATCTGCCAACACTATCTGGGGGACCCTCAGAGGTATGTTCTTCTTAGTTTCTTATATATCTCAAATAATTCTCCAATAAGCTTTACATATTTGCACTTAGATTTTCGTTTTTAACCAGCCGAGAAGTGTACGATTTTTCCTAAGGTTTTGATCAAAGAACATATTCTGTCTAGAAGAATCTATTGTTGTAGGATATCTATACCATGTTTTTTCTTATTATGCAAAGAGAAAATATCAATGTTTCGACTGGTAAATGTCCAAAGTATCTTTTTAAAGACACAAAATTTAAGGATCAGCAAATTTTCTTCCTCTTTTAAGTTTTGTATTTATTTCTGCATTGTGCGTAGCGCTTGTATTTTCAACATTTTTTTCCACTTTGACTTTATTGTTAACATTTATTCTATTTCTATATCTAGTTGTAAATCAGAAGAGTGTCGTTTTGATCCTTCAAAATGTTCCTTGTTAATTTGAATCGATTCATCTTAAATGTTCAGTCTATTCCATTTTTCTTTTTTCGTAACAACTATTGGTGGTTTATTTTAACATAAACTAACGTCTTATATTTTGTTATGTTTCTACAAGCCCTCACATCAGCTGTAACATCTGAAAAAAGTCGCTATACTATCTCAGTGCTGGATAAAGCCTAATTGGGAATTGATGCTGGAGCCAAAAAATAGCCTTTTACTTGGGCTATTCAGCTTCAAGAAAACTCTCGTCTGTTATCATCTGGGCCGGTTTCTGAAATGGGCCTAATGCTGCAGAACCAATAGCACCCACCCTAATCCAGCCCGTTCAATCTTCTACGCAATCTACTTTCTTCGTTTTCTCTTTCATATTTCGCAGGTTACAAAGTTTCATTTGTTTTTTTATTTCTTCTGCTTTATTCTACTCACATCAACTGCAAGTCACTCAACTGACTGTGTGATCTTGTCTTCTCTCTCTAGCATATTCCTCTTTTGCCTGGCATTTGTGCTCTTCCCTTAACCTGTTTTGCATATTTTCATACACTTGTGGTCACTCGAAGTACCTCTACCTGGTTCTTCATGGTCCTTCGTTTGGGCAAACGTGAACTATACCACTGGCATTTCCTTAAATTCCACCCTCATCATTCTTTTCTTTCTTCTTAATCATTTAAAGCTTTATTTATCTAAGTTTTTGCAATCTGTTGAAACTGTCCCACCATTTTAATGAGTAGATTATGAATCCTTACCATAAATTTTCAAACTTATTATTTACAGGTCTTGAAACATTCAGCCAAATTATTTACATAAACAAGAATAACAAGGTAACCATATTTTATTTCCAGATGTTTCGCTCATAATTTCATCTTCCTTTAGAAAAAGACTGTGAGTTCCGAAGATGTCACTTGCACCAACAGATAGGGACTTGGTTTCCTCTTTGATAATCTTTCAGCTCAGTCTTGTCAATTTTTATCATTCTTATCAATTCCTCTCTCCGCAGTACCTGGCTCGAAAAACCAAAGTAAAAGATTGGCCTAGATTCAAGCACCGTGGCTTTCTCATCGACACATCGCGCCACTATTTACCTCTGAAGACTTTATACAAGTTTCTAGTGAGCTTTTTCTCGTACACTATCAATCTTTCAAAATTTGTTTAATTTATATTACGTATCACATTTCCCAGTCAATTTCTCCATCAGGATTTTCCTATTTTATTATGCATTTTCTGCTTTCGAAAGACATTTTGCATTGTTCACCTAGTGTATGTTGTCAAGCTGTTTATTTTTCGTCTTTCTTCAGTTTTTGATTCACAGTTTTTTCTGTTTGTCTATAAACTTCTTAGAGACCTTTTGCGACGTCATTCTAGGACGCCATGGCATACAGCAAGTTTAACGTGCTTCACTGGCATATCGTCGACGATCCTGCTTTTCCTTATGTCAGCAAAACATTTCCAAACTTGAGTTTGAAGGTAGCTATTCAACCTTAAATTAGTCAACAAGTCACAGAGTTTTTCTTCGCTGATGATGGCTAGACACACCATTAAAAAATATAGAATTTAACCAGGTAGCTTAGTTGATGGAGCGAAGCCTTGGAGTGTCGCTTGTCACGTGATCGAGTCCTGCCCTGTTAGTATCAACCGTGTACATTCTCTTTTGGATATTTTCATGAATCCAGCTCTACTTCTGTAATATTATCTCCTATTAAAAATGTATTAAAAAGTTGAAATGTTTATAATGCTTCTATTCTATTCTATTCTATTCTATTCTATTCTATTCTATTCTATTCTATTCTATTCTATTCAATTTTATATTCTCTTCTATTCTTTTGCCACAATAAGATAAAACAATTAAATGTTCGTTTGCTTGTACTCGCTCTCAAATTCAGCTACGTCAATTCATTTACTGGATGTCTGATATCATAGATATGCTGGTTGTTCTCTCTTAAAATTGCAAATTATTGTTTTTTTCTAGGGGGCGAGAGACCCAGTCACACACGTGTATACCCCTGACAATGTTCAGGCAATTATCAGTTATGCGCGAAACCGCGGAATACGAATCATCCCCGAATTTGACACTCCTGTAAGTAGAAAGCCAATTTCAAAGCATATAAATTTTGCTCTGCCTTTTGCACAGAATATATAAGATAATCGTTTTGTGTTAATTTTTTAGAGCGATCTTCAGCTGTTTCTTTCACCATTTACAGAACCCGTTGCTATGGTCTTCAAATTGAATTTTCATTTGCCTTTTATTCGATTTATCCTGCAGGGACATACCCAGTCTTGGAAGGCAATTGACGGACTTCTCACTGACTGTGAAAATGGGTATGTATTCCTATGCCTTGATATTATAAAGCGTTTGAAGAGGGTGCTGCAAATGATTTTATATAACAATTTTCTCATTGCCTGGACCAAACATACTCTATAATCATCTTTATGGCAACACAATTTTACCATTCAAAAATCGTATCAAACAAGCATTAAAATCAGCAAAGTGGTCTTAATGTCGACATTAGAATGTTTGACTAAAATCAAATCATTGATGCCAGTATCCTCAATTTGATGCTACAAGCATTTTCAAAACTTTTCCGAATGAAATTTTTCGACAAAATAGGTTACTTTATCTCACTTATTAAAATGAAAAATTTGTATGAGCACAAAAATACAAAAAAGCCAAAATGCAGTTACAGAGTGGACTTGATATTGCCTTCAGTGATCATATCTTTTATTACAAAATAAATAGGCGCATGGAGGAAACATTTTCTAAATCCTTTCACAGTGTTTTATTGGTATGAACTTTTTAAGAACCCGTGAGCAGTGGCGGTGCCAAGGGGTTGTATGGGGGGATAATGACCCCTCCCCCTCTCGCGCTTTTCTGAAAATATGATCTACATATTTCTTCTAAAAAAGGATTGAAAACGGCTGGGGAGGGGTAGATCAAATTTCCTGAGGAAAGTTAACTTGGTACAAATCACTGAAACGAGGCAAAATGGGCGTGGTCCCACTGGCTGCGCTCATTACCCTCCCACTTTGTAATAGCTGGCGCCGCCACTGCCCGTAAGGAAAAAATTCAAAAGCTGCCCAGTCTGCATAAAATAAATGATTAACCGTACTTCCGGAATGGAGACGGTTTGAAATTAAAACTGACTCAAACGAAATTTTGGCCTTCAAGATTAGCAATTTTGCTAGCGATTATTATTTTTATTCTTAGTGTTTTAGTCCATTAGTGTTTTATTCTTAGTTTCAGCCTTCCAGACAGTCCAAAGTCCTTAAACCAGTTTGTGTTTGAAGTTGTCTGATTGCTTTTATAATCTTCCTTGTAGAAACTTTGGACCAATTGATCCGACAAAAGAAGCTAATTACAAATTCTTAGAAAAACTATTCCAGGAAGTAGCCCAAGTATTTCCTGATAAATACTTACACTTGGGAGCTGATGAAGTTGATTTCACCTGTTGGTAAGCCATTAATCTGAATGTCAATTAATTGCAGTCTCCGTACACTTGAATATCTGCAAGCAGATTGTTCAATATCGGATTTGACTATTTGTTGAACATTTGTTGATTGGTCAACGTTGACCAATTAGATCTCTGGTAATAAACACGTGCCAGGACACACACTGCTTGTAGACAGTGAATTTGATCTAGTGAAATCTTCAATTTAGGTTAAGTTGTTTTTTGAATATATTTTGGGGAATTTTGCGAAAAGGAAACAACATATTAAATGGTATGACAATCCAAGAATCTTATCGGATATCCTAAATTTGTTCGTACCTTGTCTCTTATTTGAAATATTAGTTAATGAAGCTGTTTACTAACCTTCCATTAAATTTCTTCATTCAGGGTAATTTTTGATTTCTTGATAATTGCAGGAAACAGAACAAGAAAATAGGAGAATGGATGAAGAAAAACAATAACGAAACATACGAACAACTTGAGCAGTATTATGCTACAAGGTACATAGCTTCATAAATTTCACGTTATTCCTCTCTTTAAAATATGTATAGAAAATGGAATGAAACACGGCTATAGATATGCTTGGAAATTTATACTGAGCGTGTTAATGTTTCTAGGGGTCCCATTTTGAAAGCCTGGCAATTTATAGATAGGGCAATCTAGAAATGGTACGTCTCGTCTCGTAGAACAGTTTCAGTTTTAGAATAAGCATTTTTACGCTGAATTCATGGCGCACTACCAGAGTGTGCTCGCCTCTCTACTCGAATAAACTGATCGATTTAGAGTTGCGAAGAGGAAGGGGAATTTCCGGCCTAGATTCGAGGCAGGGATATCACAATGCTGCGGGATATGATTGCAGTAAATGATCAAGATTGTGGAAGAATGAATTTCTTGATCGTTGATTATCATTTCTGATATTTCTCTTACATTTCACTCCACTCTAAAACTCTATAAACTTTACATTTTAACATCGGAAGTGTCAATCAAGTTACTATTTGTAAAATTACAGAAGATTTCATGCTTCTTATTTTTGGGCTTTTCTAGGCTGGTAAACATTATTGAAAAATTAAAGAGGAAGTCTATAGTTTGGCAAGATATCTTTGACAATGGAGTTGAGGTAGTTTTCTTTGTTTTAAAATGTGTTTGATCTTTAGCACAAACATAGTCGTTGCAGCCTTGAAACACTTGCAGCTACATCTACTTATGCTTGCGATCCCATTACAACAGATTCGTTGTTGAAAAGAGAACATTTCCTGTAGGGCAACCATAGAAGCCGGGTATCTCAGATTGCAGTTTGTTTTCCCAGCAGTCAAAGCCACAAGGAAGTAAAAATTGTGCTCGTTTTTTTTCTAATTCATCGCTTTTATATTGGAATGAACCAGGGCAGCAAACAAATTAGTAAAGTATGACTGCATCGCTTTAGGCTTTGTACCTTAAATGAATTGTCTACGGTACAATCTCTTCTACCCCCACCCCCGCCCCCCTTCTGAACTGATACGTTTACGGGGTCACAAAAAGTCTGCATCAACCACGATACCCTTAAACCCAATTTACAACGTCTTTTAGAAATGATGGGGCAGGGTTGGTTTTGCTTAAAACCCAAACCTTTTATCTTTTTGGAAATAATTATAGCTAAAGCCTGGTACTCTGGTGAATCTTTGGCTCCCGGGCTGGGAAGCAGAAATGAAAAAGGTGACGGCAAAAGGCCATCAGGTGATCCTTTCCAGCTGCTGGTATCTGAATTACATCAATTATGGAATGGATTGGCCAGAGGTTTGTCGAAAACTTTCATTGTACCTCGACGATGCTAACCCAAACCAAGGCCTGGCTCTGAATTATCACGTGCATGCACCGCCATTTCTTATAATTGTAATGTTTTTGTAATTAGCAACATTTATCAAATGTGTCATGTTCTTAAGTTCTGTTTACTAAAATCCTATCTTGGCCTAGCATTTTAAGCTCAATGGCTTGATTTCGTGCTTGATCTGTAACTCATCTGTTGAAAACTCTTGCCCAGGTTTTAACGCTATTTCTAACGGTAATAACCTCCTTAAAACATATAACAAAAATAAGAATGAAAACTTCAGGGAAAATGAAAGAATCTTTCCTTAAACATGATGTTGATATTTGCATTCAAACTGAGAAATCTTACAAGATGAAATACAAATAAATATCTTGATGATTTATCATGCAATATTATTGGTCAATATGAAACAAAAGTTTGAACTAGTTAAATACGAAGTTTGCCGACTTAAGTGTAGTTATTCACTAGCAAATTTTGGATTATTTAGTCTATACTCTTTCGTTACACAAAAACTGTGTGCATCAAAGTTTTACATGACATTGGATGAAACAGATTGTTCTCTTTTTTCAGTATTACTTTTGCGATCCTCATGACTTTGATGGTATGTACACTTGGAAATTTTCGTAAATTGCTATGTTTCTGAAATTTAGATTTTTATATTTTCTTAAATTGGTTGGATACTATGAAATCTAGTTTTCACTTCTGATTACTTCTGATAAATAAATCCAACTAAAATGTTTGCCACAAAAACGTCGAAAAAGGAGATCTATTTCCAGTGCTGACGTAGGGTCACTTCAACTTCCACTCTGCCTGACTGAGCGATCGCAATTCATCTTTTGTAGGGACAGACCAAGAGAAAGATCTTGTCATCGGCGGCACAGCAGCCATGTGGGGTGAATATGTTGACTCAACAAATATTTTGGACAGAACTTGGTATGTGTCAAATTCATGTCAAGCCTTTTTCTAGATATACTCACTGTACCCTTTTCTTGCTTCTATCTTTAAATTTCATGTATTTGCATGATATTCTTTTCTGGCAGTAACTACACAGAGAATTACAACTACCACGAATTAACCTAATTTTGGAATCGTATTAGCTGGTAACACAAACTTTAAAAAGTAACTTCCAAATGTTTTTAATAAATAAAAGAGATGCAAATCTCGGGTTTTTTTGGAAATTTGCTTTAAAACTTAAGATTATGTTTATTTAGTTCCTGTTGGCTAATTCAAGAACAGACTATACTATAGTATATATACTTTTCTCACTATACTTTATTTAATGTTTTTAAATATCTTCTAATTAAGTCACTTTAAGCTTTCAGAAGCCTAAATCCGTGACTAGTTCTAATATAAATGCTTAGCGGACTTTGCTGTGAGTTGCTGTGTCTGCAAATGTTTGAATAGCTTGTTCTTTGTGATATTCAGAGTTATTTCAAATCACTATAAGATAGCAACATGTTACCAAAGTTTTAATTATTATCAAGGGCTCGTGGGCTAGCTGTTGGAGAGAGACTTTGGAGTGCCAAGTCTGTGAAAGACTCGACAGATGCGATGCAAAGAATTTGGGAACATAGATGCAGATATATCAGGTGAGCCAGGGGCGGATCCAGAGAAAACTTGAAGGAGGGGCAGTTGGTAGTGGGGGCGCTGAAAAATTTTCAAAAATTAACGACGAGAGAACGCTGTATACAACAATTTCAGATCCATGTTCGGAATGAACAACAAAACTTTGAAGGAATCCTTGAAGCAAATTAACCTATCGGTCCAAGAACCTTTTTCATCTGATTCTCATATTTCAAAAGGGGCGCACAATTTCCAAAAAAGGGGCGACATACTTGCTTCAACTCGTCGAGGGAGGGGCCACTGCCCCTAGTTGCCCCCTTTAAATCTGCCACTGAGGTGAGCAAGCCAAGTTGCTGCAACTTCACCTTCTTTGTTAACAGTCCCATTTGACAATAAATTATGGATATGGCTTTTAGAAAAGCAAATTTTTTCAGTATACTGAAAGCTTATTCGTATGTTATGTTCTTCATATGTTACTGCAATTCCACCTTCTTTTTAACATACGTCTTTGCCAATACAGAAAAATAATGTTCCAGTAATACGTATAGACAAAGTGGCATACATTTTTAATATGCTTTTGTCTACAGTCGTGGAATCCCAGCAGAACCCGTAGTAAAAGGGAAATTTTGCATCGACGAGTGGGACCCGTGAACGATGAGCTGATTTTATAGCCTGTAAGTATATTCTTTGCTTATTAGCAATGCTATAATCATGTAATTGAAAACATTATCTTTTATTATCAGTATGCATTGATACACTTGTGGTTAGCAAGAGTTGTTGTACAACAAATGACTTGTCTCTATATTCTTCAGATTATACACGACTCAGTCCAAAGCCCCTTACTTTATCGTAAAGAACTTCTATTTTTGTGTTTCAGTAACTGTACAGGAACCATTGGTTATAAAGAGATGGACATTGAATGAAAGAAATAACAAATGTATTTTTGGCAGTTTTGACACATTCCAACACTGTCATAGGTTTGAAATAGAACGCTCTGTTATTAGAAGAGAACATCTTCTCAATGAAACACGAGTCAATAAGCTGGACAACTTGCAAAGAAGCCATCATATATATCTAATTGCCGTCATTTATATGTAATTAGACTTGAATTTGTACACAGTAGCGGGTATTATTCAAAGTAGTATTATTAAGTCTGGAGTCTGGACAGTAAGGAATGCGTTTGAATTAACCAAACTTCTAAAGGTAACTCCATAAGCAGCCAATGAAATGGGCCCCTTTTTACTAGTTTCTCTTTATAGAAGCACTGTGTTTTTTTATTATGTTATAAAATCGATTTTCAGTGTTTGAAATTGTAAATCGTCAAAGTATTTTGCCAGATTTAAAAATATTAATGATGTATAGCACTGAATAAATATCATCGGTAAATATTATCTTCTAAATTAAAAGTAATGATAATTTTTTTTGCCAAAGGAAATATTCCTTCTCTTTAAAGGTTCCTTTGAATTTTCATTTCGTCAAATTGACCTGAATCCACATTGACAGAGAATCTGAAATTTTAGGGAGAATGTCCTTACCAATTATTAGAATGGCATGATGAATTGCCCTTATAAACTCCAATTCCATTTTGTTAATCAATGACTGCCCTTCTTTGTATTATTTTATCCTATACTAAATTACTTGATGAATCACATGGTAAACAAACCAGATATTCAGCCTTCTTTTAGAGCGGACGGCATTAAGATAAAATTGTCTATAAAACAATCTTTTGGTGGTACAAAACTTGAAAATGGCTTTGAAAAAAGCAAACATTTAGTAAACTAAAGCTTTTCGCCTGACACTCTTCAGAGTTTGAAACGTCAGAACATAGACCGAAAACAATAAGCAAGTGGCACTGATTGGTCAACCTCAACAGTCATGTGCTCGTGTTTCTGATTGGCCTATTTCGATCCACAACTGGGTATATATTTTCTAGCGTAAAGTTTTCGGTCTATGTTCTGACGTTTTAAACTCTGAAGAGTGTCAGGCGAAAAGCTTTAGTTTACTAAATGTTTGCTTTTTTCAAAGCCATGTTCTATAAAAATGTTCAATAAATAACTAAAATAAAAAGCTGAGTAACTAAAAACGATGATCTTTAGGCCTGTGCGATTATCTGCAGTCACCATCAACAGAAATCTTATGATTCCGCCAGCATGAATTTTCATCTCTGTTAATCCTCCACTGCCTTGGTATATTACCTTGAAATTGCTCAAAATGATGAATTATGACTTCCTGCAAATTGTTTTGTGATCTTTGCAGCAGATGGCAAGACCATAGATTAAATCTGATGTGACTTGTAGTTCTTTGAATGGCTTATTTGGCTGTTGTCGTCTCTTCAAATTTTCTGTCCTTTATGCATCTTAATGAAGATGCTTATATTTTGAGTCTGTTTGCCAGTCTCTTAATGTAAAGACTAAACTTTACAATCTTTGTTGTGTAGAACGAGATAGTTCTGAGGTGTAACTTCGAGTTTGACCCATTCGTGTGTAGTTTGCTTTGTTATAATGGCCAAATAAAAGAACAATTAAGAAGTTGAGCAATTTGTTAAAGTTGCATAAATGCATTGCCATTGAAGGTAAATAGTCTATTTAAAACAATTGGCTACTTTTTTCTACCCTCATTTACTGGAAAGGACACCCGGAAAGGGGGAGGGGGCTTCTTAGAGTACTTGATTTCTTGTCCAGGGCTCTTCAGGAGGTGACATTTTTTAGAAACGATTCTTCTAGAACTTTTTCATCTTTTAAGGTACATGCCAGTATTCTTTTTCAAAAAACATAAGCTGGCGAGTTTTTAAATAAAATTATCACAATCCTTGTACAAGGCCACATCGAGGCACATGGTTTTGAAATCGAGGTGGAAATCATGATTTGATTTGAAATCATGGTTTTGAAATCATGGCGAAAATGCAAATGCATGATACATTCAGACCAGGAGCATTTGCCGCTGTCAGTCGTTTATTACTCTGCACTCTTCAGGTATTGATATAAATTTTTTAGAATCAAATAAGAAATTTTAATTGGAGCAAGAATCTTGTAAATCTCCCATCATATCAAATGTTTATATACCATGAAATCCAGACCTGCTTGGAATTGTTTACGATGACAGAGATACCGATACCCAAAATATCTGATCTGACCTTTATTATTGAAAACTACCAATCAAAAGTCAAAGTGTTATATTGTAAAAAGAACTGTCTGGAGATTTTGTTGGTTGTAGGTTAAAATCTTAAACACAATCTATGACTGCCTGAGATGCATTTGATCAACTAAAGTTGTCAACAATGATTTTTTTCTCCGTCCTAGGCTGGCTTCAGATATCTTAGTTATGAATACGATTCATCAAGTGTCGAGCAAAGCTTTTTATCCCATCAAATGGATTCTGAGTACTCATTGACACATCTTAATGACAGCAAGACAATTTTTGACAAAATGATCATGTCAGCACTTGGTGGCCTCTCTAAATGGGATGCAGTATACTTTCTAAACATTGCATCATTAGGCTATGATTATGAACAGATGCTTGCATTTTTCCCAGCCTTTCCTTGCATTGTATCATACTTGGCAAAAGTATTTGAAATAATTTGTTTGGGCTTCATTAATCATCTATCATGTTTGATGCTGTGTGGCGCTTTGATCAATATGCTGGCATTTTCAATAGCGGCTATAAGTTTGCACAAACTCACTTTAAAAATGACAAGAAATAATGGGAAAGCTGATGTTACAGTGATACTGTTCTGTTGTAATCCAGCAAATATTTTTCATGTGGCAGCATACAGTGAATCTTTGTTTGCTTGCTTTCAATTTACTGGCATGTTATGGATCGAAGAAAGGAACGAAAGATCAGCATTTCTGGTATCTGCTTTATGTTTTGCAGGAGCAACTGCAACCAGATCTAATGGACTTTTGTCAGTTGGATTTTTGTTATATGCACTGCTTATAAAGATATTATTCATATTTACAAGAAAACAAGACTCTTTTTGGAACATATGTTTTTGCTATGCAAAGGAGATATTGATAAACTTTCTAACATGTGGTGCAAGTGTCTTGATTGTTTTAGTTCCATTTTTGGTTTTCCAGTATTTTGCATTTGTGAACTATTGCCAAGATGTGACAAAACTGAAGGATTCAAAAGCCCACTGGTGTCTTGCAACTTTTCCATCATCATATTCATATATCCAGAAAACATACTGGAATGTTGGGCCATTTAGATATTTTCAGTGGAAGCAGATTCCAAACTTTGCTCTTGCATTGCCAGTTATTTTTTTGTCTTTTGGTGCTTCATGGAATGTACTGAAACTATCAAGTAATGGCCTGTGGACTTTGTTGCAGATGATCGTTGATAATCAACAGACATCAAAAAGAAGGTATATGTAGTATTAGCCATTGATAGATTATTTTTTTATAATGACTTAAATCGAGTCACCTTTTCACTGTAATAGCATGACAATTGTAGGATTTTAAACAATGTTGAAAAAGGAGACTGGAAAGAAAAGGAAGGCAAAGAAAGCAAGAATGATTTTGACATTTCCCACAAGCCTCAAGTTTTATAAGCTAAAACAGGACTTTTTGAGAAAATAAAAGCAGACCATTGCATTTTATTTAGTCATTGCTGTTTAGAGGGTATTTCCTGATAAACATAATTAATGGAGAATAAATTATTTCTTTGGACCTCTCAAGCATCATGTATTTTTTCTGTACATAGGATGACCAAACAATGTCTGGAAAATGTACTGTTGGTTCCTTATGCCTGTCATCTTCTTTTCTTAGTTGTATTTGGTATCATAAACATTCATGTTCAGGTATGAAAATAGTTTTATCTCTTCCAATCTTTTTGCATGGCAATTTTCTTCAAAATTGATCACAAATCTGCTAAACAAGGCTGCTAAACCCACATTAAAGCTCTTGACTCCTAGTTTGCCTTCAACTATCCCATGAATTTCAGTTTATTTTTTGCCCAATTACGAAAGGGGTTGCCATAATACCCTAAATGATGAAACAAAGAATCTAGAGATTAATAACCAGTACAATGACAAAGAAGAAAGGCGTCAGGTATTCGTCAACTTCTTGTTACCTCATGGACAATTCCAATTTAGACAAATCCATTAAAACATTGAGACAGCTCTAATTTAGACAATTTCATTACGAAAAGTCCATTAAATTAGATTAAACGTTTCAACTCTGGCTAGAGTCATCTTCAGTATAATTACAGGCGAGAAAAAATCAACTTAAATACGAAGAGCTAAACGAAGGGAATCGTAAATCATGCGATAAAGAAGTAGGCTGGAGGAGCAATCAGGACGCAAAAGAAGACAAGGAATAAACAACCTAGAGAAATAAATAAGGAATAATGGCCAAACAAAGAAAACAATGCGGGAAAGAAAGTCAGAACAAAATCATAGGAATAGAGGACTGTTGGGAATTAAGCAAAGGTCTGTTCCGGTGTATGAGGAGGCTTTGATCAAAGGAGTTGTTTGTTTTGGAGAGAATAGAAAATAGAAATTCAACAGAAGCTACGTGTCCAGTTTTGGAAATAAGATCGTGAATGGAGGAAGGGCTAGGGGTTTTAACACCTTGGCCATGTACCCAAGTGCTCTCTACATCGAATCATGAGATTTCAAGATTTTGAGAATCTAGAGAGTGGAGCTTTTATGGAATGGAGCCAGTTGCCTTTGTACAATTTGTAGACTTTCGTATTCCTTTTATTATTAACTGATAAATATTTAGTAAGACTTATTGTAAATAGTTGGTTTAAATCAGTTTTTAAGAACTATGTAAGTACCAGTGGTAAATAATTTATGGCGATGATGATGATGATGATGATGATGATGATGATGATGATGATGATGATGATGATGATGATGATGATGATGATGATGATGATGATGATGATGATGATGATGATGATGATGATGATGATAATGATGGTGATGATGATGAATAAGATTGAATAAGATGAATAAGATGAATAGTATTGGTATCATCATAATCTTTCCATTTAGAAGGCCAGGTGCTAGGAAATCTGAAAAGAATATTGAAATCAATTGCTTATACATTTTCAGCCAGGGAAGACTGCCCTCACTGTAACATAATTTGACCAAGAAATTTGAAATAATAATTTGATAACCCTCACAAATAAGACACAAATAAGGTCTGGGGCTATCAGGAAAACTTTAAGGCCCCCCTCCCTACCCTAGAGATTGTGGTTATCCAACAGGTAAAGCTATTAGTTACAAAAGAAAAATCTGGGAACAACACAGTCCATTTTCACCTAGCAACCAAATATTGACTTGGCCAACAAACTAAGAAAATGTTAAGGGAAAGCTGTGACTATGAAAAAATATGCCAGCAGGTTACTCTTGAGTACCACCTTTATGGATTATAATATTTAAATTCATTAATATAATGTGATATTTACAATTTGCCAGGGCTTAAGATATTTGCAAAGGTAAATCAAGCTGAATTCACTTTCTTTGTCTTAGGTTTTGACAAGAATGATTTTTGCAGCCAATCCACTCGTTCTTTGGTATACTACAGATATATTGGTATCTACTAAAGAAGAACAGAATTCCAAATATTCAACTTCACATATAGTATTAGGGTATTTTATTTCATATTCTTTGATTGGAATTCTTTTACATTGTAATTTCTATCCATGGACATGAAGCTGGTGTTTGATGTATCTGTTCTATAAATTGTAAAATTTCATCTCAATGGTCTTTTTAATATGCAAATATTCCAGTGGTGTATTTATATCAAAATAACAAGAAGGGCTTTTGCACAAAATGTTGTGAAGAACAATAGCAAAAGTAGAAATTTGCCAAATTTTGGCATCAGCAAGGGGGGCTCAGGGAGGCATGAGCCCCCCTAACACTACACCCCTGAAATATTCTTTGGCAGTGTAGGATAACAAATTGCCAAATATTTTTTTCAAAACCTCTGTAAAAGATATGATTTGTCCATCTTGGGGAAAAGGCCGCAAAAAGGGAGGTAGTGGTTATAAATGTAGTAGATGCCACTTACCACATATTTTCAAGGCTTGAAAATGCACTGCAGAGGGTTGAGAAAAGTGAAAGGCTCTTTTTAGACCTCTCAGGATCTATCTTGCTGATTCTTTTTAGACTTTGTGTTCCAGAGAAAACACTGAAGAAGAAGTCATTTGAGCTTTTCACATTTCATATCATTCAGCAAATCACAGCTGGGTTCGCACAACCACCCCCAGTTGCACGCACACACTAACAAAATCTCAACGTTCTATAGATATATACTGTAAACTAATTAATCCAAAACTTACTACCACTGAAGATGCTCCATTCAATTTTTCATCAATTGGCTCAAACGAAAGTGTAATTATTATGATCAAAGCAATTAGAAAATAAGGTAAACAGAAAAGCTACAACACAAAGTCACAATATGCAGTTAAACCAAAAACCTTAATCGACTACGCAATGAAAATTTACATGAAAACCAGGACAGGCTCTAAGAAAGTAGGGGGTGGCTTTAACCGAATAAAAAATGGCTTTACAGTGGTTCGTTTCTAAATTCTTTGCAATTTTTGCAAAAATGATAGGTAATAAAGCCCCCTCCCCAAATCATCTGCTCAGTGGTGGCTCCAGCCTGGGATAAGTAGGGGGGATAAAAGTTGTGTCAGGGACAACGCCCTTTTGGACCACGCCCTTTCCCCATGTTTGAAACTTTTTCTTCCGGAGGAAACACCTGTTGTCTCCCAAGAAATGTCTTTTACATGTGACGATCTCGATAACGTACATACCCCCCCTCCTGAAGTTTTCTCATCAGGTTTGCAAGAATCTCAAGGACCAACTTTCTGAAAAAGTAGGGGGACTAGCGTACATACCCT